CATCTCTGATTCAGAGGCCACTTTTGGAAGAGCGTGTCCAAAAAGTGAAGGTCAAAAAGAAACTTTCTGATGCAGACAAGAAGTTGGCAAGCAGGTTGGTAAAATTCTCTTAGTTGATGTTACTTCAGACGGTAAGAAATTAAAATTTTATATCTGCAATATTGTCTTAATTTCTCATTGTTTATTTCTGATTGCTTTTTAAAAAATTTACTGTGGAGAATTTCATACAAAGTTGAAAAGGATAAAGAATCTCATTCATCTCTATTAACAATTACTATTGCCAGGGGCTGTAGCTCAGTGGCACAGCGCTTGCCTAGCAAGCGTGAGGTCCTGATTCCCAGTCCAGAAAATTACTATAAGGCAAATTTTGTTTCATCTTTATCTCAGTCTCCCTATCATTTGGAAACAAACCTGTGAGTTTAACTTAAAATTTTTTTATAATGTATTTGATTCAGGATCCAGATAAAACTGCTGTCACATTTCTAGTTAATCTTCCTCATTTTTTACCACTGTCTTCAGACATTTTATTTTCTTTTCCTTTTTTCTCCTCTCTTTACAGATTACTTTTTTACTTATTCTGAGAGTTGTAAACTGCTTCTACTTTTTGTTCTTATCCTGAAACTTAATGTGTCTATGCACAATCCTAATTTCTTCCTTTTTCTTTCAGAGTAAGATTAACTCACCTGTACTACGTATTCCAGATCTGTGTTCTGCCTCCTTAGATTGTACCGTCACATCCATTCATTTTTTTCACTTTCTTGTATCTTTGATCTTTCCAACATAAAATATGTTCAAGGTTCTCATCTGAAAGCTGGGCTGAGGCAGGAGGATCAAAAGTTTGAGGCCAGCTTGGGCAACTGAATGACTTAGCAAGACCCTGTCTCAAAATAAAAAACTATTTTAAAGGAGCTGGGAATGTAGCTCAGTGCAGAAGCAATCCAGTACTGCAAGGGGGAATGAGGGAGAGCTTTCATGTCAGAAAAAAAACTCTTAACAACCAAAAAATCTCAGTGAACAGTCATGTGTTTCTGTTTGCTACTGTTCACAATCCTTACCTACATACTTGAGCTTTTAGAAAAATTCATCTATGACATGGACATGGTACATGCCTATAATCCAAGTCTGGGAAGAAAGAGGCAGGAAGTGCGTGCTTGGGGGCCAGCCTTGGCTACATAGAAAAGGAAAGAAAAAACAGTCTATTGTTTGGCTTTCTCCCTTTTTATGATTTACTTACCGTTCCATATATTTGCAGTCTAATAGCAGGAATAGTGTGTATGTGGTGGTGGAGGTTGTCTGGATGTACATCTGAAATTGCTCAGAGGCCTTTCTTATCTAGTGGCCTCACTCCTCCTTTCTCCCCCGATCATCAGTCATCATTGGTTGCAAGGACAGTTGAGCTCTGAGTCTGGCATCTGTGGACCTGCTCCAACCCGTTACTATATTTAATAGGCAGTACAGGCTTTGTCGTAGGAGGCCTATTGTAACATCATAAATGGTTGGTCTTGTTGAATTCTCTGAGGGCAGTCTCTTTTGATTTTCTTCACCTTGCTTGTCTGTTGCTTTTCAGTGATAACATGGGTTATTTTTCTTGTGATTTTTCAGTTGTTTTTCCTTAGCATTCTTGTTCATGATCATGTTCTCGTGACCTTTTTTTCACCCTTCACTGTTGTGTCCGCACACATACAGTGGTTCTCTGTGCTGATCTCCAAACCTATTGCTAGAAGGTACTCACTCCTGTGTAGACCATGTGCATTTCAAATTAAGAAAGTTTTAAATAAGCTGGGCAGAATTTTGCATGTGTGTAATCTCAGAACTTTGGGAGCTGGGGACAGGAGGATTGCAAGTTCACGTCCTGCTTGGAAACTTCATGACTTAGCAAGATCCTGACAATCAATCAATCAATAAATAAGTAAGTAAGTAAGTAAAGGACTGGAAGCTGGGCATGGTTTTGCACGCCTGTAACTCAACACTTGAGAGGCTGAGGCAAGAGGATTGCTGCGAGGTAGAGGTCAGCCTGAACTACACAGCGAAACCCTGTCTCAAAGGAAAAGGGGTGGGGATGGCAAGGAAGGAGGTAGTATGTAAAGGCCTTGGGTTCCAACTCTAGTACCACAAAAAAGAAAGAGACAAAGAAAGAGAAAAGCTTATTTTGAGTGAAAATCATCAGCCTCATCAATCCTAATCCTCTACTTAAATGATACCACTTACTTTCAGTTTCCTAAGGCAGTGGCTTGGGAGTCATGAGCTCTTCCCTGTTCCTGCATAGCTCATCAGTTGCTTAGTCTTAATGCTGCTGCAAATACTCTACCGCTGAGTTAGGTCCCCAGCCACTAGCTATTACCATTTTTTTTCTAAAGGTACCAGTTTTTGGATGTCTCTTTACTACACTTTGGTTTTTGTTTGTTTGTTCTGAGACAGAGCAATGCTGTGCAGTTCAGGCTGACTGGGAACTTGTCATGATCTGCCTCCGCCTCCTGAGTGCAAGGATTGCTTACAGGCTTATACCAACAAGCCCAGCTTTTTCATTACACTTTTGAAAGCCTCGTGATAGTTTGTGTTCTCTGAACCTAGAATAGTGTGGAAACCAAGTATTTGTTGAAGAGTAAATCATTTTATGCCTCCAACTGCCTGTTTTCTCTCTTCACTCTATAATCACCATCCAGTTCTTGTTTTGGATTAAATCAGACCTATGCATCCATTTACTTTCATACTTTATATTGCAGTTGCCATTTCAGAATTTTTTTTGGTAAGCAGTCCTTTAAATATTACAGTATTATAAAATTGGAAATCTTTTTTTTTTTTCTTTGTTTCTTTTATTCCCAGAGAATGCTACAGTGTCCTAGATTCTAGAGCAGAGAATGCAATTAGGCACTGATAGAGTATAAACTAAATGTTGAAAAGCTTTAAGTGAACTGGCTCTCAGCTGAACTTGTTGGTGCTACTACTATTGACTGGCAGTCTTATGCTGAGACACAGGATTTGTTTTCTAAAGGTACTAGACATTTTGTAGATAATACTAAAAGTTTTTGTGGTAAGGTTTTGTTTGGGAACATGGAAATCATTGGAAAATATTTTTAACCAGGAGAATTTAACAATGCTTTGTAAAATACTGACTATCATGGTTCTTCTTCTTATTTGTTTTTACCTTAAAATTTAGGGAAAGTGCTTTAGCAAGTGCTGATTTAGAAGAAGAAATTCTCCAAAAAGAAGGACAAAAAGGGAAAAATTCTCAATCTAGTGTTAATGTAGCAGGTAAAAAAGTACTTGATGATATAGATCACAACTTTGATGGAAGTCAAAGAAAGAAAATCCCAATCAACCAAGAAGAAGAGAGATTAAAAAATGAGAGGACTGTGTTTGTTGGGAATTTGCCTGTGTCATGTAATAAGAAGGTAAGTTTTTACTTTGTACATACTAAAAATTCAGAGAAATTAACTTTTGTTTATACTTCATTTATTGAATAAGCACATAACTGATAAGCCACTGATGCAACTTCATTATCAATGACTACTGATTTCATACTAAACTGATTCCAGTATTCCCTCCTATTCCGGTAATCCCTACCCTAATTCAGACTTGGCAGATCACAATTCAATTACTGCAGTGACTTCCTCTCTGGCCTTTTTCTTCCAGCCTTATATCTCCTCCTGTATGCCACAGGAATGGAAACTTCCTGTGTGCAAAGACAATTATCTGTTTTTTTACTGATCTATTACATGAGAGGCTGCATTGAGCCTAGTAGTGGCTTACTAAATGCTCGTTGTGTAAAAGGATAAATACATCCTGAACTTCTTAGGTTGTGTAGGGTTCAATACACTGAAAACATTACTTTCTGTGGTCATGAAGAAGTGTCTGTGTTGGCAGTCTTGACTCAAAATCCTAATCTTTGTTGTCTTTTTTTGTTTGTTTTTTTTTTCCCGGTACCGGGAATCGAACTCACGACCTTGCGCTTGCCAGACAGGCGCTGTGCCGCTGAGCTAAATCCCCAGCCCCTCAAAATCCTAATCTTTGGAACAATAATTTTAATCTTCTTCCCTAAAAATAAAATAATACTAAAAACTTGTTGGGTTTTCCCTTTGTCTCACCTTTTGTCTGCTAGCATTTAACTTGTGGTTATTTTGTAGGGCATCACAGGTTTTGTTTGGTGCCATAGGTTTGGTTATGTATCTTCCTATTAGATTATAAGCAGATCAAGGAAGGGGAGTGTGGTAGCATAGTGCTTTGCATAAATACTAACCATTAAGTAAATCATTTTTAATTAGAATTGGTTATAGAAATTATTGTCCTATCTCTTAAACATATTCTTCACATCTTGCTCTTTAGAAACAAGAATGTCAAAACTTACCCACAAGAATTCTCCTTGAGCTATTGGTCTTAGAGACAACTAAAGAGTTTCTCATAGCAATATAAGCATCATTAAAGTCATTTCTTGTTTAATGTGAAAAAAATCAGAAAATACTGTATATGGAGTATATGAGTCTAACCTCAATTTACATGTGATAAAGACTAAAAGAAAGATGTTTACAATTCATGGACACTAATATCAACTTCACTTGCATTTTCTTTATTCTGTAAGTTTCAGTAAAGTTTTTTATCCAACTGAATAGTCACGTACTTTTCCTGAATTTTTCTTAAAATAAAAGCTAGCAATAAAAGATGATCCATTTAGCTATTCTATTTTGTGACACTTGGTGTTCTGAAAGTGAACTAAAGTATTTATATTTTATTTTTTTAGAAGCTGAAGTCATTTTTTAAAGAGTATGGACAAATAGAATCTGTACGATTTCGTTCTTTGGTATGTCTTCTTTCTCCTTAAAATTTCATAATCTTAAAATGTTTTGCATTTGCTCCTGGCTTCTTGGTACTAGGGCTCCAGAAGAGCACCTGACTTTACCAGGTATAAATATAGCCAGGGGAAGAGTGGCTCTTGGTGTGTATTGCTGACTCTTAGACTTGTTAAATAATCTGATAAAGGGATAACCTTATTAGCAGTACCAACAGTTATTTTGGAGCTTGAATGAATGATTTACTTGCTATATCAATAGCGTGGTCAGAAAAGCTGATACTTACAGGGTAACATTTCTGGAGTGTTGGCCAGTATGGGAGGTTGGTGTCACTGTTGCAAACAGTACTTGGTTTTCCCATAAGTGAGTTTTTAATTTTCTTACCTCATAGTTAACATCACAGTGTATATTTTTGAACACTATCTTTTATTGTAATTAATGTATATTAGAATTCAGGAAATACCTAGTCCACATTTCTAGTTGCTCTTTTATGTGATTCTCTAAAATAGTATTTCTGGCCTGGTGTGGTGGCACATGGCTGTAATCCCAGCACTGGGGAGGCCAAAACAGGAGGATTGCTATGAGTTCAAGGCCAGTCTTTGCTACCTAGTGAATTCAAGGCCAGCCTGAACTACATGGCAAAACTCTTCCTCAAAAATAAAAACAAAAAGAGTCTCTCAACCTTTGTGCTATTGATGGTCTAGGCTAGAAAAATTGTTAATGTGAAATGATAGGATGTTTAATAGCATCCCTGGCGTTAACCCATTAGATGTTCTCACGCCTCCCCACCCCAATTATAACAACCAAAAATATCTGTAAATATTGCCAAATATTTCAGGAGTCAGAACTGCTCTTTATTCTAGGAAACATTTCCCAAGATTTTCATTTCTCATAATTTCTGTCAGTGTGTTTATTTCCTGCTTTTATCACCTTTTCTGAGTCCCATTTTCCCATTTCAGACCCTTGCCTAACACAGGGGCTGGGGTGTATTGCTAGCACCCCAGCTGCAACATGACTCTGCCTTCATGCGCTCCTCCGCAATCTATGCTGCCTGCGAATTGTGTCTGTTATTCAGTGGCACTAGGCTGCAAGCTTAGGACGTGGCACAACACTGTCAACCTGATCTTAGCCGAACATGGTGGCGCACACCTGTAATCCCAGCACTCGGGAGGCTGAGGCAGGAGGATTGTTGCAAGTTCGAGGCCAGCCTGGGCTACAAAGTGAGCTCAAGGTCAGCCTGAACTTCATAGCAAGACCCTGTCTCAAAAAGCCAAAAAAAAAACCACCAACCTGATCTTCCTAAAGCCCTTCTTCCTGGAACTCTTGTCCTGCACCCTTCTATCCCCACCCTAGCGATTACCTTCTCACCTTAAAGAACCTGCCCAGCTTCTTTCTTACCCTGAGCCGTGGCATGTGTACTCTTCAGCCCCACACTTGTAGTACTTGCTGCCCTGTAGTGCAAGTGTTGTTCATTTGTTTGTCCTGGCTCCAGACTGGCAGCAGTGGTTACCTGTAGAGTCTGTCTTGGTTATCCTCATGGTATCTAGCACCTGCAGCTTGTATTCATTAAATATGTATTTGAGACTTGTAGAATCTTGAGTTCTTTTCGCTGTCAGTAAAATCTTTGGTCTTAGCTTGGCAGTGTGCTCCTCCTTATGTGGGCTTTCTCACCTTAGTACTTTCCTGAAATTCATTTTGCCTGGAGTTGTTTTGTTTTTTATTTTTTGTTCTGTTTTGTTTATATATTAATTTTGTATTACTGGGAATTGACGCAGAGCCTAATGCATGGTAGGCAAGGGCTATACCACTGGACTACTTTCTTAGCCTTATACATTATACTTTTTGAGACATGGTCTTGCTGAATTGCCTAAGACAGTGGTGTCAAACCTTCTAGAGCTTTCAGTGGTACAGACAACCTGCTGTGGCACGCATGCCATAGGTTCGCTGCCCACTAGGCCATCCTCCAATTTGTGAGCCTTCTGCCTCAGCCTTCTAGGTAGCTAGGAAAATAGGCATTAGTCACCCTCCTAGCCTGGAGTCCTTCTTACATCCCATTTTACCTGTAAAAAACTATGCATTTTTCAGTACACGAGTAAAACATCACTTCTTCAAAATATTTTTGATACTGTATACCACTAATTGGTTTTTTTCTCTAAAGGAAAAATATTTTTACTTTATTTTTAAAATACTTTTCTAAAGAATTTTTGTAATTTCTTGCTTTATGTTATATATATTTATTAATATCTTCAGTCACAGGATGTAGGTCCTTCAGCACTCCAAAAATACTCCCAGTAAATGTGTTTTGATGACTGTCATTCACATGTTGAATATTCATTTAGAGATTTCTCAAGTATGTATGTTTTTCTGTTGTGAGTTTGTATGATAGTGATTTGAGTAAGGTACACAGAAGAGAGTTCAGTTTTTTTAGTTTTACTATATAAATTAGCAGATGACTAAGGAAAATAAATATTTTCTAGAGGAGGTTCATAAGCACTGCCATGGGTGAGATTTGCATTCATGAATGATTCTAGACTGATTTGGAGGGCCAGTGTCCTTTCAGTACCTACCCAGCTTGGCACATTGCATAGTTGTTAACTTAAATGTCTTCCGTAAAGTTTTCTTTACTTAGGCTATTGACTTGCAAAAGCTGTGTGTGAAAGGGAAGAGAGAAGGAAGGAGAAGTAAAAAGAATTAGGGTGTGTTATGTACATGTCCAACTCCCCACAATGAATTAATCATTATGTACCACAAAAACAAGCAAATAAAAGTTTTAAAATTCACAAAAAGCTACATATGAATGAAAATAAAGTGATCCAGAACATAAATGGAATTCTCTTGCTCAGTTTATAGAGCCACTTAGAATATATTTTTCCAGTTAGAATATATAAGCTCTTTCTTAGAGATATGGATGAAGTTATATATCTTATTTATTAATTTGTTAAACATTTAAAAGTATGTAGAGTATAAAATAAGACGGTAATGCCAGGCATAATGGTGCACACCTGTAATGACAGCCCTCAAGAGCTTGAACAGGAAAAATGCTGAGAATTTGAGATCATCCTGGGCTACAGACTGAGTTCAAGGCTGGCCTAGACTCCACAGTGTGCTCCAGGCCGGCCTTGAACTCACAATCTTCTTACCTCAGCTTCCTGAGGGCTGGGAAGATGTCACTTTATAAACATTGCTCTCCCCCCGCCCCCGCACTTCATAAAGCAATTTTTGTATCATTTTTTCCATGTCTTTAGCATCATCTTCTCACCTCTTCCACTTCAGTTACCCACACAGTGTGAAAGTCTTGTGTCTTTTTTTTTTTTTTTGGTTTTTTTCCGATATCAGGAATTGAACTCACAACCTTGCACTTGCCAGGCAGACGCTGTGCCGCTGAGCCAAATCCCCAGCCCCAAGTCTTTTGCTTTACTTCTCTAGATTGAGAACTACTGCCTGTTCAATCTGGAGAGTGATGCTGTTTTTGTGACTTTTTCATCATAAGCCATGAGATCCCTTTCATATAACATGAGGACAGTTATTTCCTAGCATGTTTTTAATCATAATATACCAGTTAGATATTTAAGTTTCAATTAAAATATTAATTTGAGCTGGCATGCTGGTGCCCGCCTGTAATCCCAGCACTTGGGAGGCTGAGGCAAGAGGATCATTGTGAGTTTGAGACCAGCTTGGGCTACTAAGTGAGCTCAAGGCCAGCCTGAACTGCATCGGGAGACCCTGTCTCAAAAAAAAAATTTTTTTTGAAATAATATTTCAAATACTCGATTTCTTAAAATGTTTTTTCTTTTTTCTCTCTTAAAAGATTCCAGCAGAGGGAACTGTATCCAAAAAGTTGGCAGCGATCAAGTAAGTTTATAATTAGAGGAAAGGAATCAACTTAAAATTATCTCCTTTCTGGTTAAAAGTTGAGACCAATAATTAATAGTTTCATAGATTTTTGTATTTGGATAATATAACATGCTTTACTGTTTCCTTGTGTCTCTAATAGCATATATATTTATCAGGTGTTTATCTTTAAAGCCTTGATGTATATTGTACTGTTAAAGAAAGTATTAAAATTATTTACTAAAAAATGTGCCACAAGAAATTTGAAGAATGTTCGTAGTACTTGGAAGACCATGAGGAAATTCTGTTCCCAAATTTTCTGATACAAATCCAGAATACATGAATTTTCTAGAACAGACCATGAATACCATGTTTCTTCAGTTCTTGGGGTACCTCATAGTTTCCATCAGAGCAAACATGTATCTGAATGAAAGTCAGGTACCTTATACTTTCCATGGCTAGTCATGGAATTCATGATTACTTTGGCTGGTCACCTGCTAGTCAGCCTGTGACTACTTCACTTTCTCTCTTTGAGGACTTGGGGATGATACAGGTAGTGTGGCCTGGGGATCAAATTCTCAGGGGATCTTTCTTTTCTGCCCAAGAGTGAGACATACACATATCCTTACTCCCTGTTCTCATACAGATTTATTTACATTTACATTCTGCTTTATTCAGGGTTTCAAATTAGTCTCACACTTGGGTATTTTTTTTTCTTCATGGTACATAAAATGATGTGCTTTACAAGCAGAGATGTCTTCATTTTAAATGAAATCTATTAAGGTACTTTAGAAACATTTTGTTCCCTTTGGATATCTTGGTGACTTCATTTGTTCCTAATGTGGAGTTTTATCAGGAGTTATTTGGTGTGCCAAGTCTTGGCTGCTTTTTCCCCGTAAGCATCATAGTGTCAGGTGTATCAGTGACACTTGATGAATTATCTGCTGACTCCCACACTCTTGTTTATTGTAACCAAACCTGTAGCTCATCCTAGATGTAAGGCATTGTGCAGCTGCTAATGGAAATGGGAAACCTGGTGAGATACAAGCCTTCTTTTTGAGTTACATAAATGTTCATTTTGTATGAGTTTGAAACCCAGGAGCCTAAATTTTGACAGAAATAAAAGTTTTGACTAGAATATGTAATAGTATTACTCAGAAGTTTGGGGGTGTTGTACCAGAAAAACGAAATTTGTAGGCTTTGCCATCAGTCTATTCTCCAAGCTGTAAAAATTGAAGTCAATTGTTTAAATAGCTAATGAAGCAGATTGTTCAAAACTAAAAATGTGTAAAAGTATCTTCAGTGGAATGTTTCCTTCATATACCTGTTCTCTAGGTAGCCAATTCCCTGTCCCAGGCTGGCTCTAGGCTGTTACTTTTTTGTGTGACCTTCCAGAGACATTTTATGCATCTTCAGATGATTAACATACATATTCTTTCCCCAGTATGTGGCTTTTTTGAAAGCAGGGTTGCTAATGATTGAAACTAGGTCCTCCTGCATGTTAGGCAAGAACTCTATCATTGAGCTGCGCCTGTAGCCCCTACTTTTTAAGTCAATGGTATTCATACTTTCTTTTTTTTCTGTTTAATTTTGTACTAGTGCTAATTGATTTGTTAAACTTGTAGTAGTAGAACTGCTTTGAAAAAAGGGTATTTTGCAAAGTCACGTGTTGTGGTGCATCCCTGTAATCTCATTACTCGATAGGCTGAGGCAGGCGGTTGTGCCAGTTCCAGGCCAGTCTGGACTACATAGTGAGACCCTATTTAAAAACCAAAAAAAAAACAAGATGGTTTCCATTTGTAAATTTGCCAACTGTCTCATAGAGTTGCTTACCTGTTTATTATTTCCACACCTTTACCAACTGCAGTACATTTTCGAGGTTTTGCAGTACACTTTTGTACTGCAAAAAATGCTTTTGCAGTACATTTTTGAGGTTTTGATCACCAGCAACCTAGTATATAGAAATGATAGTTCTAATTTTTGTTTCTCTTATGAGTCTGAGTCTTTTCACGTACTCAGGAATCAATTTGTACTTCCTTTTATCTGAATTATTACTACCAGCTCCTTTTTGTTTGTTTTGATCTTTGCTATTGAATTATTTGGTTTATTTATTGATGAGATACTAATGTAATCAGCCTTTTATGATAGGGTTCAAACTCTTTTCTTCTGGGCCGGGGATCTAGCTCAGCAGCACAGTGCCTGCCTGGCAAGTGCAAGGTCCTGAGTTCAATTACCGGTACAAAAAAAAAGTTCTTCCTCTGTCATTTGCATTTTGACTTTGCTTGTAGAGAATTTTACCATGTGAAAATTGTGGGGGGTATGTATAACCAAAATTTCTTGTAAATGTTTTTCTTTATTGAGTAATTTACCTCCATTAAGACTGAAGATATATGAAGTGTACAGCTTTAAGAGTTTAATACATGTGGGAGACTTGTGCATGGTCAGTGTACAGCACCTCCCTCACCCTAAGTCTCCTCCCACCCCTTTGCAGGGCATCCCCCCATTCCCAGACAGCTCATTTACTTTCTGTGTCTATGTGTTAGTTTCAATTTTCTGGAGTTTTATATAAATGGAACCATCATTCAATGTGCACTCTTTGTTTTCGGGTTTTTGATTTTGATTTGTTTTTTTTAGGTCCTGGGGATTCAACTCAGGGTGCCCAGCATATTAAGCACTCTCTCCAGCCACTATGTACTTTCGTCTGGCTTTTTTTGTTCAGCATAATGGTTTTGAGGTTCACAAATACTATTTCATGTGTCAGTGGTTTATTTTTCATTGCTCAGTAGTATTCCATTTCCTGAAAGTATCCGAATTTATCCATTTAGCAGTTCAGGAAAATTCAGGTTATTTCATCTTTTGACCATATTTGTGTACAGATCATTTCTGTTGAGAAAATGCCTAGGGATGAGATTGCTGGGCCCTATGGTAGGGATATTTTGAGCTCGCCAAGAAACTGCCAGGCTCTTTTCCACATTGGTTGTGCCATTTTATATCCCCAACAGCAATAGTCGAAACTCACAGCTACTTCACATTCTATCAGTGCTTGGTATTAGCAGTCGTTTGATGTTAGTCCTGCTAAATGTTTGTCATTTTGGTTTTAGTCTCAATTTTGCTGATTACTAAAGATGATGAGCGTCTTTCTTGTGCTTAGTGGTTTTCTTTTCTTTGGTAAAATGTCATTGTAAAACCTGCCCATTTTCTAATGGCTTGTCTTCTTACCAAGTTTTAAGAAGTCCTGTTTATGTTCTGGATGCAAAACTTTTGTCTAACATGTTTCAGTGTTTTACTTAAGTTTGTGTTAATTAAAAGGTATCGTAGGCCAGGGATATAGCTCAGTGGTACAGTGCTTGCCTGGCACATGCAAAGTCCCAAGTTTGATTTCTGGCACCAAAGAAAAATAATAATACAGTAAAAGATATCTTTTGAAGAATCACATGTTTTCAAAATTTTTTTGAAAAGCCAGTTGAGACTTTTCTGTTGTCAGCAGTTTTGTAGTCTGAGGGAATTGGGGCAGCAGGATCTGTGCTATTCTGGCCTAACCTCAGGTTCAGATGGGCTGGAGTCACTGTCTAAGGAGCTGATAGTGAGTCTCTCCATGCCAGGGCAGCAAAGCTCTGCCTTGTACTTTTTACAGGTCCTGTACAGTACAGTGTTTTCCACCTTCCCCTGATGGCAAGAGACCTCTCTTCCTCCAATCACAGGAGTCTACTCTACCCTGAGTGACAGGCTTGCTATCCCCCCCAGTGGACCAACTTACTGCTCCACTGGGAGAAGAATCCACATGGGGCTTGGACACATTTTCCCATTTGCAGTCTCCATGGACGTGCGTATGGGCACCCTCTCTGTCTCAGGCTTTTCTGTGGACACAAGTAGAGGTCAAGTGGGGCAGATCCTATGGGTGTGCTGCATGAGGAGCTGCCCAAGTTCTATTTGAGGCCCACCCAAAAACTAGTGCCCATCTGGTCTCTCTTTGGAAGGATGGGCCTGGCCTTAGCTTGCAAGCTACTTGTTTTCCTGAAACTTCAGCTCTGAAGATTTCCACAAAAGTTAGGCTGTTCCACAGTAGTTATTTGGAGTCTTCCTACTGTTGGGGCAGGCTAGAGGGAGGCTCTTTTGACTCTCTGTTGTAAGTAGAAGCAGAAGCTTTGCCATCCATCAAGCTTGGTGCAGCTTGATAACCCTAACTCTAACCCAACTCTGCAGAGTCAAGTGCAGCCAAAGCCACGTGCTTGCTCTTTGTAGTCCTTGTACCAAGAAGGTCTTTCTGCACAGAATAACAAAGTCCTGCCCATTCATTTGTGTCTGGGGGTCTGCTGTTGGGTGTTGTCAGCAGCTGCATATTGTGTGGAAAGAGTGTGGCTCCAGAGTCAGCAGGCTTGGTTGCAGTCCTTGCGTGGCTACTTATTACCTTATAATCATGATCATGTACATTTCCATGTCTCAGCATTATTTTTCATAAAGTCAGAAAAGTAGCACCTATGTGTCAAATGTGAAATTAAGTGAGATATATTAAAAATGTCTAGTTCAGGACCTAGTCTGTATTAGACATTCAATAAATACAACTGGTGTCATCAGTATAAAACTGTTAGGGAGTTTGGAGTATAGCTCAAGTGGTAGGACACTTTTACCTACTATGCAGGGGTCCCTGCATTCGATTTTCAGCACCAAAAGACAGTAAAATAACAAAACTATTTAGATGGCATAGTACCATATTACAAAATGGCATGAATGGGGGCTGATATCTGTACTTCAGACCCTCAATGTGCTGCTGTACTTAGGCTAACAAGTCTTTGTACCTCAGAAAAAAAATCAAAAAATAAAATGAATGCCATGGGTGATTCTGAGCACTGTTTTCTGCTTCCCTTCTTAATGGTGCTTATTTGGGTACAGTATTAACATTTTTGTTACTTTAAAACTGTAGCTTGGGGCTGGGGATTTAGCTGAGTGGCACAGCACCTGCCTGGCAAGTGTAAGGTCATGAGTTCAATTCCCGGTACTGGAAAAAATAAAATAAAATAAAACTGTAGGTTGACATCTTCAGGAAAAATCTGTGGTCCTTATGAGGTTCTAATTTTGCTGACTGACACATCTAACTTGAACCACCATTTTGGAAACCTAGTGAGTTAATGGGTACAAGCCCTAAATATAGCAGCTGCAGTCATTAAAAGAGTAAAGTCAGCCAGGCGTGGTGGTGCACTTCTGTAATCTCAGCACTCTGAAGGCTGAGGCAGGAGGATTGCCACAAGTTTGAAGCCAGCCTGGGCTACATAGTGAGTTTCAGGCCAGCTTGCATCACATAGTGAGACCCTGTCTCAAAAAAAAGAGTGAAAGTCGTAACAGCAAAATCCAGGCAGTTGTGAAGGTCAAACAGTAAGATAAAAAAGAGATCCAGGAACAGTCCTGTTAAGTAAACTGTAATCCAGACATACAGAGTCAAAGAATGGACAAGACCAAAGTGTAATATTGAGGAATAACCACTGGGGTGGTAGAATCATCTAGGAAAACATAGGGAAGTGGTGCATTCAAAAGTGGGGATGGGTCTGAGGAGATAGCTCTGTGGCATAGCACTTGCCTGTCAAGCGCAAGGTCCTGAGTTCAGTTACTGGTACCAAAAAAAAATTGGGGATGGTGGTGGTTCCTTTGGAGGGAAAGAAGGCCTGCAGCTGAGAGGGGCCAGAGAGAGACTGCTAGATGGGCTGTGACTGCTACTGCCTTGGCCTTGAGTTAATTCACTCAGCAGTATGAGGCTGTGTACTTTTCTACATGGGCATTTTATTTTACAGTAGAAAGAAGAAGCTAGGTTCATGTGTGTGCTGGATTCAGAGCAGCAGCTGAGATGACAGTATCTAGTCCTTGTGGTATTCTCAGGGTTTTGCACATGTAGGCTCTTGTATTCCCACCACTATCTTTTGAAGTTGTATGTGCTTTTTAGAGTTATTACTACTTAACTCAGACTACTACCTTTTGTCACGTGTTAATAGTAGAAAGCAAGCTAAACTTACTGTAGTGACTTTGAGGTTAACAAATTTTACCTTTTTTATTGTTGTTACAGACGTAAAATTCATCCTGATCAGAAAAACATTAATGCTTATGTTGTGTTTAAGGATGAGAGTGCTGCTACGAAAGCACTGAAAAGGTAATTTATCTCTGAGGTTCTAACAGAATTATTGTCAGGGGGACTATTTGTTTTTTTGTTTGAGAGTAGGGCAATTTATTGGAGATGAAGAATGGGGAATAGGGGCTGGGGATTTAGCTCAGCAGCAAAAGCGCCTGCCTGGCAAGCGCAAGGTTGTGAGTTCGGTTCCCGGTACCGGAGAAAAACCAAAACCAAAAAAAAAAAAAAAGAATGGGGAATAGGAGTAGTTCCTAAGAGACAGGAGAGGTCAAGAATGGGTTGCCTGTAATGGGGACGTTTTGTGTGTGCGTATGGTACTGGGCATTGAGCCCCAGGGCTTTGCACTGAGCTACACCCACATGTGTGCGTGTATGTCACTTCTCCCCCCACTTACTCCCTTATTTTTTATTTTAGTCTTGCTAAGTTGCCCAGGCTCTTCTTGAACTTCTGATCTTCTTGTCTCAGTCTCCGAAAGTACTGGGATTATAGGTGGTGTGTATCACCACACCCAGATTTTTTTATTCTTTTACTTCATTTTGGAGCAGTTATCTTAGTCTCATTTTTTAACAGGAATTTTCTCTTGTATTTGTAACATAGAAATGGGGCCCAGATTGCAGATGGATTTCGTATTCGAGTTGATCTTGCATCTGAGACCTCATCTGTGAGTACTAATTGATTTGTTTAAAGAACTTAACTAGACCTTTGTATGGAGAAATGTTTTTCTTAGAGATATGCTGGGAGGATATCCCAGGATATCTGGGAGGATATCTGTGATGTAATGGAGCATCACAGAAATAGGAAGAACTGGCCTTCATCCTCTGGGGTCCAAAGCTGGTGCCCAGAGAAGCATAGCACTCAGGTCAGCATTGGTTTCAAAAGCATGTCATCTTCTATTTGAAGGTATTCCCCATCCACCACTGTCAGACTATTACAGAAAGTTAACCAGGAGGGTCCATTAGAGATGATCTGGCAAAACACCTTGTTTTATAGACTGACATCTTAGAAAATTCATTTATTCATCAGACAGCTTTTGAGAACTGTCTTAGTTGCTTTTTTCTCATTGCTAAGACAGAGTACCCAGTACCTGCAAGTTAGAAGGAAAGAAAGTTTATTTTGGATCACAGCTTGTAGATGTTTCAGCCCATAATTGGCTGGCTCCAAGGCAGGGTAGCATGGCAGAGGGAGATCACAGAGAAGAAACAGTCCACAGCACACAGGCAGGAGACAGCAAAATGGCAAGTAACAAGTGATAATACTAGCCCTCTTTCTGTCCCTTATATTTTATCCAGGCTACCTGCCCCTGGGGCAGGTAGCATTCACACCCAGGGTAAGGTACTCTTAATCCTGCCCAGAACTCTGCCACATCAGTCAGTAGACTAATTTAGTAATCACATACTCTTGATCTCAGCATCACACGTTAGATCCAGCCACCTCTGAAAAAGTCCTATCTATATATAACTGCATGAGGCTTTGGGGGAATATCTAGACACAAGCCATAACAAGAACCCTCTCTGTCAGGTACACTGTTCCTAAGGGATGGTCTCAGTTCTTGCAGTGTGTAGGGGAGATGAGCAGAGAGATAGCTTGAGGCTCTTTCGTGATAAATATTGTCAAAAGTTTGTAGAATGCTTTGTCAGTTCAGCAATTGGGCACTTGACTTGGGGGTGTGCCAGGAAGAACAGGCAAGGAGAGTTTCCAGGAGAACAGGTTTCATGTCAGTCTTAGAAGATGAGTAGGCAGTGGCAATATTTAGGAAGAAAAAAAAGTATAAATGTGGGAGACGGTGGACCCTAATTTGTTTGGGTTAGTTACTGGGTGAGTAGGTAGGAAGGAAGAGTTGCCAAACAAATAGTAGAGACCACATTAGGAAAAGCTGATCTTTTATGCTTCATGCAGAGGAGTCTGGATTTTGTCCAGGACCTGGTCCAGAAGTGATGTGACAAGATTCACATTGGCAAAGGTAGCGATGAATGAAGGACATTATTGTAGGCTTCACTCAGAAATCTGGTGTTCCTGTCACCATCATTGTAGCCTAGTTAAGAAAGGACAGCAACCTAGATGAAAAGCCTGGCTTGACTAGAAGTGTACCATAAGGTCAGAAAACTAAGGCTTATGGACCAAACCACCTACCACCTATTTTTGTTTTATTGATACACAGCCACACTGCTCTTTTTGTATTACCTATGGGTTGTTTTTGAACTGTAATGGCAGAGGCAAGTAGTTGCAACAGAGACCACATGGCCACAAAGCCTAAAATAATTATTCTAGGACTCTTTACAGAAAAGATCCCTTCCTTCCCAATCCAGTACAGCAAGCCTTCCCTGAGCACCACTCTGTCAGTGCTTGCTGTGAGTGGAAAGTCTCTTCCCTCTGTTAGCCAAGAGGGAAGATGAGAGGAATAGAAAGAAGGATCAGATGTGTGGTTAAATCAGGGGTGGATGACCTGCCCCATCAAATGTGGGGAAATGTGGGATAGGGGCGGGGGTTAGCATGGCTTCCATTTTCTGGTCCTATGAGTGATTTTTATTAAGTCTCTTTTGTATTTCAGAGGGATAAGAGATCAGTGTTTGTTGGAAATCTCCCTTACAGTAAGTTTGCTTAAACAAAGAAAGTGTAGATATTGTATTTCAGCAACAAAATAAAAATGAGTATTACATATTAATGTCTTAAGACCAAATATAGAAGTATGCATTGCAGTGTTTTTTATGGGGCTGTGCTTTCTAAGGAAAAGCCAAGTCTAATTTTATTGTGATGAATGCTGTTTTAGAAGTTGAAGAAACTGCTGTGGAAGAACACTTTCTGGACTGTGGCAGTATCGTGGCAGTGAGGATTGTGAGAGACCCAGTTACAGGAGTTGGCAAAGGGTTTGGCTACGTGCTTTTTGAGGTACGAGAGTCTAATGCATTGTCAGTGTCCTTGGAAAGAACTAGGAGGGATTGCCACTGCTCTGTCATTCAGACGTAATTTATTTTCATCTTCAAATTCTGACTTAAAACTAAATTCATGCTGGGTATGGTGTCATGGCCTGTACTTTTTTAGTAATCTGGGAGGCTAAGGTAGGCAGAGATTGCAAGTTTGAGCCCAGAGTGGGCAACTTACTGAGGCTTTGTCTCAAAATAAAAAGACAGGGCTGGGCATAGCTCAATATGACAGCTTTGGGTTTAACCCTCATTACCACCAAAAAACTAAATAAAGTAAAACCCCTAACTGCATAACCTGCCATAATCACTTTTACTAGAATTACACCTAACCAAAAAGTATTTGGTTCTCTTTTTCTTCATACTGCTATTAAGATATCAGAAATTAATGGTACTAAATATCTGAATCTCCATCTTCACTGCAATGGATAAAATAATTCTTTACTCACATACAGGAAAATTTTGTGGGTTTCTTTTCTTTTTTGGTTTTTTTTTTTTTGTGTGTGTTTTTGAGAGAGGGTCTTGCTATGCAGTTCAGGCTGGCCTTGAGCTCACTTTGTAACCCAGGCTGGTCTCAAACTTGCAGTGATCCTCCTGCCTCAGCCTCCTGAGTGCTGGGATTACAGGTGTGTACCACCATGCCCAGCTTGGAAAATTTTGAAGTCTGTATAAATTATTTATATTTAGTTCACTAATTTAATCAATGTTTCATGCCTAGTATTATTAAGTAGTAAAAGAATGCATACTTATTATCTGGTGGCACTTAAATTTTTCTTCCTTCAGCAGTAGCATATTTCATTTTAGTTTCTTTTTCTTGTGCCTTTGTTTATAGCCAAACATCTAAGAACATAAAACTTTGCAACCTGTTTTCTGTCATTTTCTGTCTTGTGAGCATGTTCAGTTGAGTGATACAACATGATGTATATTGTTATTGCTCTGATGTTGGTCAGTAGCAGTATTCTCTGTTATAGTTAAATTGTAATGGTGATATTTTTCCTCAAATGTTTACTTGCATTTTGGATCACTTCTTTAGGCTAGTTCCCTATTGGGATACAGTATTTCTAGGTCAAGATATCTGACTGTTTTGAAGATTTAATAATAGGGGTTCCTGGGTAGCGTTTTAGAAAAGTTGGAAGTGTTTCCCTGCTCTCTGTCTTCTGCTACTTGATAAGTTCATAGTCATATAGCAGATACCTCTTGGACTTTCAAGGTAGTATTAAGATTCTGTATTGGATTAATTAATAGTAATAATAGAATTTTGGACATAAGTGGAACTCTGTAGGGTATCCAGTCCCATATCTTAAGAGCTGTGATGGAGATTTCCTTGCCCTCTGCACAGAGCAGGACTATTGCAAGAAGGTGGTTTGTGAGATGTTTTTGGTTTAAAAAATTGCATTTGGCTAATCATTCAAAACTCCTTGCAAGGAAAGGAATGAAATGCAACCTCTGAGATTGTGAGTTACCTGAACATTTTGAGGCAGCTTAAGTGCCTCTGGGAAAACTTGTGTAGACCATGGCCCAAAAAACACTTCGAATTGATATTCCTAGAATTGGAAGGGGCTTCTTTGTGCAAGTTTGAAAACTACTCTTATCTATTAAGGTCAATATTTTACTAGTCTCTTCGCAGATTAGCTTCTGGTAGAAATTAATGTATTGATTTTTTTTTTTTTTTCCCCTAGAACACAGATGCTGTTCACCTTGCTCTGAAATTAAATAATTCTGAACTAATGGGAAGAAAACTCAGAGTCATGCGCTCTATTAATAAAGAAAAATTAAAACAACAAAATTCAAATCCAGGTTTGAAGAATGTCAGTAAATCCAAGCAGAGACTTAATTTTGCTTCCAAAGATGCAGGACAGCCTAACAGTGTATTTATTGGAGAAAAAGCTATTCTTGTTAAGAAGAAGAAGAAGAAAGGGCAAAAAAAGAGTGGACAAACTAAGAATCTGAGAAAACAGAAGTAACTGTCAGAAGCTGCTTGCTTTTCTTCCCATGAGGTCTGCCAACCTAAGTGTGGTGAATTCATGGACTGAGCATCACAATTTTTTATGGATTGTGTATGTGAGACTTGTACAACCTTATTTACATTGTAATCCCTTCAAAGCATTTGTTTTTTAATGCAGACAGCTTAGTTCATGGAGTATGTGTTACTACTAATGGTATAAGAAATTATTTTTATTAGGCCTGGGTCAACATTTTGAATTTTAATGATTGACTCTATGTTAGAAATAGATAACAGGTGCTTCAGAGAGTTATTTCAAAAATATTTTTTTTTGTCTGTTTCTCATTATTTGTCTATTTGTTTTCCTGAGAAACTGTCTTGTAGATAACAATATGTAAAACAATAACCATTGATAATTTCCTACCACTTTGTCTATAATTTGGTAAGCCCCCCTCTATTACTATGTTATCCTTCTTTTACTCTTTAAAATTAAAAAAAAAAAAGAATATTTTTGCTGGAGATGACTGATAATTTAAGTGAAAACAGACAATAAATTTTATTACTGATTGTGCATAGACCAAGTAGCCTTAGTAACTTTAAAGTGGGAATACTGATTCTAGGTCCAGTTATAATACCTATGAAAGATTTGAGACTGTTACATGATACATACTCATTTTTCTTTCTTTTGCACTTGTGGTAAGTGGGAGTTCTGGATTTTTATCTTATTCCATCAACTAATAATAACTAACCAATAAGAATGTAAGGTGAAATATGGCTCTAATTTCTTTCATCTAACCAATGATTCAACATTATTAAAGTCTTTGGCAGACTGGCTACCAAACAGATTTCTAGTTTCATTTCCATTTAAAAGACATTCTCCCAGGAAAATTTGTAATCATTAAATTAGTGTCATTCAGAATGAAACAGTCTTTTAAAAAAAAAAAAATCATACCTAGGGCCAGGGATATAGCTCAGTGGCACAAGCGCCTGCCTGGCAAGCTCAAGGTCCTGAGTTTGATTCCCAGTACCAAAACAAAAACAAAACAAAACAACAACAGCAAAAATCATACCTAAAGGAAACATTTTCTAATGAAATGTAATAATTAGGTCACAAAGTGTAAGTAGAGTTCAACAAATAGAATATTATTGCACTCTCTGGGGTCATAAGCTGGTACACCTTCACTGTTCTTACCAAGCTGTGTCTATTTCAAGGTGAGAGACCTGGGGAAGACAAGATAACCCAGGATGGCTGATTTTAGGCAATCCTCAGTGAACATTAATCATATTACAGACAGATGAATGGGGAACAGGATGAGTTATAACTATTGCTTTGAAAATCTTGTCTTTTGGGAATAATAGCACATGGAAAAACTACAGGAGAAATTTCAGTGCTACAGTAACAAATGTGAAGTAAAATTTTAATGTCTGTTATGGTTTCTATCTAGATGTCCCTCCTAAAGCCTCATGCACTCGTAGGTGGGGCTGTTGGGAGGTGATTGGATCATAGGGCAAGATACTTATCAGTGGGTAAGTCCACAGATGAGTTTATAGCTGAATGTGATATTGAGAAATGAAGCCTGGTCAGAGGAGGTGGGTCGCTGCAGGTATGGCCTGGAAGTACTATCTTCCTTTCTTTTCCTTTGAGCTGTCTGCTTCCTGTTGCATATTGTCTCAGCAATGAGGAAGACATCTGTGCAAACAGACTGCATATGCACTTCAGTCTTGCCTATATAGCCTGCAAATGTTGCATCTTTATGTAAATTTAAATGGGAATAATATGCAAAAATACTCAAGTGTAATCAGGTTGTAAATACTTGTTCTAAACACAGTAAGGGATACAAAGCAAAGCATAAAAGTGTCCAATCTCTGGATTCAGGAAAATAGAGCTCTCTTTGCCCTCTACAGACCTACATCATAAAGACCCATTAGATTTACATAAGGATATGACATTTGTAGATTACGTAGATTGTCCCTGCTGTATCCTCTGTGCACAGACTTGTGACTCCTGTAACTGGGCAGTTTCACATTTGTTACCGTATAATTAAAACTTCCATTTTTCTCTGAGTAGAGTTTGCATGTTACTCTTAACAGTTTAAAATACATTTGATAGGAAAAAAAGTAATGTGTATTTTATTTTATTTTTTGTCTTTTTGAGACAGGGTCTTGCTATGCAGTTCAGGCTGGCCTTGAGCTCACTTTGTAGCCCAGGCTGGTCTGCCTCAGCCTCCCGAGTACTGGGATTATAGGTGTGCGGTACCACGCCCGGATAGTAATGCGTATTTTTAAAAAAATTTTCCAGACATACTCTGGTAATTCTTTGTTACCTGGAAAAATACCAGTATATCTGATTAAATATTTCTAGCTACAAGAAGATACTGGTGTGGTTGTCAGTGGCTCCAATTTGATTTTTACTGTAATAAAGATTATCAGTAGTTTTGATTGTGAGCATTCTTGTTTTCTCATGAACTTTCCCTGACTGCCCTGTGAACATGTTTTCTGCTAATGATCTGGGTTTAAAGTATAAGGTTAAAGAATTCTTAGAATGAGAAAACAGGATTGCTTCATCTACTTCATCTACCCAAGTATTTTCTCACTGTCATGTAAAAGAATCATATGTTGCTCCTGTTGGTCACAGGCTGTCAGGTAAAGAGCTCTGAACTGGTGTGTAAGGATGCTCGGTTCTTCACCCAGCTCTGTGACTGCGTACTCTAAATATGTTGATCGGTGAGGTAAGGGGGCTGTACTCTATATGTGGTTTCATGTGTCTACTATGGTCACAGTAGTTTAGTTTTACATTGTGACCAATACAAACATGAATATATTTAGTCAACATGATCATTTCACAAGAAACTATACTATATAGTATGTGGTATTTGATTTTTGGGTTTTTTTGTTTTGGGGTTTTTTTTTTTTTGTAAGCTAAGGTTTATTATGTTGCCTAGACTGGACTTGAACTCACAATCCTCCCACTTCAGCATCAGAGTAGCTGGAACTATCCAAATATTTTATTCTACTAAAAATATTGGCTATTGAGATCTCTCCCCAATCCACTGATGGGTCCACTCACTTACTTTGGAGATTTCCATACTGTTTCCAGTTCTGCAAGGAATCTACACATATAGGTGTTTTACAATATGTATTTCCTTTTCTATTAATGCGTTGTCTAGCTTTTTTTTTTTTTTTTTTTTTTTGTGGCAGGAATCAAACTCAGGACTTTGTGCTTGCCAGGCAGGCGCTTATGCCACTGAGCTATATCCCCAGCCCCTGTCTGGCATGTTATATCACATAATAACTATTTCAACATTTATGCTGCATTTACAATATACACAATGAGGATCAGAGGTGAGTACCCTGTTTGGGGTTTATCCAGGAATCATAATGGTACAGGAAAATAAAAACTGCCAACCTGAATGATACCTGGGATGAGTTTGTGTTCTCTAAAATCGAAGAATGAATTTTAGGAACAATGAAGGTTAAGAGTAGAATATATTTATTGAGGGAAAGAAAGCTTCTGTCAAAGAGAGGGACAGAAGGGGGGGCCCCCAAGTAGTTGCCCAAGACTGCCTTTTCTAGGGACTTTTCTAGAGCAAAACCACGAGGTGAGGTGAGTCTAAGGGGGGAAGTGGGAAATTACAAGGTGGGCATGAGGTGGGAAAAAACTGGTCAGTCAATAATTGTTTAAGTAAAATTGATTAAATTGGGATCAAATGGGGAAGCGAGTCAGGTAGCAAGGGGGTATGAGTACAGAACAGGGGCATTTCCTGTAAGGGGTTGGGTCAATGACTTGTAAGGTGATTGCTACCTATTTAGAATATCAATCCCTGATGTCCATCCCTAGGGAGGTAGATGGGTGCATTTGTTTAATCTTTTGTCTTGAGGATTGGCTCACAGCAAATGCGTATCTTATCCTGTCTTTTGTACCGGCTCCTTGAAGAGCCTGTCCCTGTCTGACTGCCTATAATATTTCTATCTAACTCAGCTGCCTATGACATTAACGTCATGGCCACTGTCTTAGTTACTATTCTTGCTGAGACAAAATACTCGACACCTAAGATTAAAGGAGGAAAGGTTTATTTGGCTCAGTTTGTACAGGTTTCAGTTCATAGTGGGCTGGCTCCAAGCCACGTTGGCACGGCAGAGGGCCATCACAGAGAACAGTTGATGGCAGGCAGCAAGGCAATAAGCAGCGACCCTCTTTCAGTCCCTTAGATCGTATCTGGGCTACCACCTTATCATGGGGCAGCCTTAATGCTAGCATTGCATCATGGATCAATTTCACTGTCACATCCTTGATCCTAGCATCACACAGCCTAGATCCAGCCACCTCCAAAGAGCCCACCTATGATGGCATGAGGCTTTGAGGGGACATCTGGATACAACCCATAACAGCCACAAAGCCTGCTCATTGCTTTGAGACCTCCCATACCAGCTATATGGCATTGGACAGTCTACACACCAGAAGCTCAGCATAGCACCCTAAGTAGTTGAGCTTACTGCTAACTTTTTGGGATCAAAATCTATGTGTGCAGAGTATAAGAAAAAGTATTTGATCCCACTCTTGTGCAACCCTCGAATCTCAATCATTTGCTTTGGTACATTTGTACCTCCCTCCTCACATTTCCCCTACTACTCCAGTTGGGTTAAAGCGCACAATGCTTTGGTTTAATTTCCAGTATTACCAGTGGCTCAAGGTTCATCATTACTTGAGCAGGCTTTTCTTCAACCAAGCAGCTCTGTTCAAAGCAGCTCTGAAAAGGTTTCGGATACCAATAGTCCATGTTAGGTCAAGCTTAGTTCTTTTCTTTACTTTCTTTTTTTTTTTTTTTTTTGTACCGGGAATTCAGCTCCCCACCTCGCCCTTGCCAGGCAGGTGCTGTGCTGCTCAGCTATATCCCCAGGCCAAGCTTCTTACGTTAAGGGTACAGCCCTCTTCAAGGCTGTCTTCATCTCGGACTCCAGCTACAAAGTTGGGACGGGGTTCCTCACATCTGATAGGATGGGCACGTACTGGGAGTTTTCTAGTTCTCATTTGAACTTAGGAAAGTGTTGCTCTTCAGATTAGTTTCATGGAGCAAGAGAGTACAAGTGAGAACCTTCCAAGGGAAAAGGCACATTTTCCCCTTAAATTTATTTTAAAGGTTATATATTTTTAGAGGAATAGTTAAAATGCCCAAATTTAGCCACAATCTGTAAAGCAAATTCAGTTAATTATGAACAGGTTGTCTGCTGTTCCCTGAGTTTGCTCACTACTGCCAAGATGCTCCTCAAAGCTCTCAGGGGCCTAAAGAAAGGCTTGCTGCAAAATCTCGGTGCGCATGCGCTTTCCAGCGCCGCTCAAGGGCGGCTACCACGTGGCAAGCCGAGCGTAGGCAGAAGCGCGCTGGCGCCTCTGCGCAGGCACAACTGAAGACGCCCTGCGGACCTGTGACCCGGAAGTGCTCCTGCTCGTTCTTTCCGGTCCTTTTCACCAGGTTTCGGCTGCAGGAGGTACAATTGCCTCTTGTGTGTGGCCAGCCTCTCCGGTGAATTCCTGCTGCGGCCGGCGCCTTGAAGTCGGGAGGAGATGGTGGGTCGGAACAGCGCCATCGCCGCTGGCGTGTGCGGGGCCCTCTTCATCGGATACTGCATCTATTTCGACCGCAAGAGGCGAAGCGATCCCAACTTCAAGAACAGGCTTCGAGAACGTGAGTGGACCCGTGCCTCACTTCGGCGGTTGCTTTGCGTACGGCCGGGGAAGACATGGCGCCGCCGCGCGGGTCAGGGGTCCTAGCCCTGCTCGCTAGTTCCCTCCATTTTGAAGAAGGGTCGGCCCCATTTTGTATTTCCCTCGCTGGCGGAGTAGATTATTCTCCTGTTACTGCTTAGGGTTGGGGGGTTGACATGGGGGGGCATTCCTAAGGATGGACCCTAAGGCCTAAGCACAGAGGCGCTGACCTGCATCCCCGTCCGTTTTATTTTGTTTCTTTAAGGTCTCGCTGACTTGTTCGGGCTGAGCTTGAACTTGTGATCTTTCTGCCTCAGACTCTCAAAACGCTAGAATTAGCGGCCTGCGCCGCCACGCCTAAGTGGTTTCTTTTCGTGAAATTTACCTTTTAAAACTTGTATTCTTTATCCGGAAATCGTACGTTTTGTGTATGACTGATGTTAGGCTGAGCCTAAATCTGCAAATTGATAATTGCATTCTTAAACCCTCTTGGCAGCTTCGCCTTAAGTGCTTCCAAGATATGAGTGAATGCTAGAGAAATTGCGGGGGAGTCCAAAGGGCTGCGCTTGTCTTGTGGCTCAGTCTTATTTCATACCTGCGACATCTTTTAAGAGAGGTTCACCAGAGGGGGATGTCCCAAGAAACCATCGTGATCCGCGTTGAATTTTGGGGTTATCTTAATTTGCAACGGCAAAAAACCAAATTTGTTGAAATAACGTATTTTTATAATAGATGTATGTTGCTGGGCTATATTATTAAAGCCAGGAAAGTACAAATAGCGAGGACCTTATATATTTAGTTAAGGTATCATCACAAGTGTTCCATAGCTGTGTGTAGGCTAGCTAGTGAGGAACCTATTGTAGATGCTCATACGGTAAAACTAGTTCTAGCTCTTTTAATGGAAAGGATGATGTTTTGGAATCACACGTTAGGTCTCTAGGTCCCAATCACTGATGGGCAGCATGGCCTTGGACTTTTTTAATCTTAAATTTGTTTATTTATTACTTGAGGTACTGGGGATTAACGCAGGGCCTTTGAGCTGAATTACAAACCCAAACCTCTTTTATTTACATTTTAAAATTTTGAACATAGCCGGGTGTGTTGGCGCACGCCTGTAATCCCAGCACTGGGGAGGCTGAGGCAGGAGGATCCTTGTGAGTTTGAGGCCAGCCTGGGCTACAAAGTGAGCTCAAGGCCAGCCTGAACTGCATATCGGGACCCTGTCTCAAAAAAGACAAAAAAACAAACAAAACAAAACAAAATTTTGAACATAAATTGCCCAGACTATGATCAAACCTACAGTCATTTTGCCACAACCTCCCAGGGTGCTGGGATTACAGGCACGCACAGGCCGCCACGGCTGGGTAAATCTTAGTTGTAACTGCAAAATCAGATAATGCCACTTGCTCCTTGTTTGAGGAGATGTTTGAGGTGCCCACCATATTTCTGACATAAAGAAGGTTTTCCACCATAAATGCTGGCCATTTAAGTGTAACTTGGGATACAAGTTTCCTGTACTGCAGTTTCAAAAATAGATGGATGAATGTGTTGGGTGCAGATGCAGAGCTCTAAGAGTGGATTAATTTTTGTGAAAACTTCGACTAAGTGATTTTTGGCTAAAGAGATCATAAGAGTTACTATTTTAGACAAATTGAGGAATGTTATTTTGAAATCTTTTCCCAATTTTCGGTCATAAATTTGTTTTGGCTTTAGCAGAATCTAAGGATTTAAGTGAATTACTATCTACACCAGCATCTTTAGACCATTTCAAGCATTATTTTTCCTTTTTTGTAAAATGACTTTCTGTAGTGTGGTACTGTCCCTGACACGTACTAATTGATAAATGCTGTCTTTCTATAAATAAAAATTTGAAATATTTGCTAGCAAGTAAAACTTCTATTCAGAGTAATTTTGTAGTCTTTTTAAAGATAATTGCATAAGTGGCTGAATTTGTACAAGTTTTGTTTCGTTTCTTTTAATTTTGAATTTTTCTACATGAATTTTCTTTTTTTTTTTTTTTTTTTTTTTTGGTTTTTCTCTGGTACCGGGAACCGAACTCATGACCTTGCGCTTGCCAGGCAGGCGCTTTTGCCACTGAGCTAAATCCCCAGCCCCTCTACATGAATTTTCAATAGAATATTTACATCAACAATAAAAAGGATTCTCGAATCAGTCTTTTAGCTTGTTGGCTTTCTTGTTTTGTTTTGATAGAGACTTGTTAAAAATAAGGTTTGAGGTTAGGTCTGGGGTCTTAATTTACTTACACCTTTTATCTTCCCCTGTTAGAATTTTTGTGTGCTAAATGTTGAACTCGGGGTCTCAAGCACATTAAGCATTGTGCTCTACCACTGTGCTACATCCCCATCCCCTTTTTAAATTTTTGAGAGTGTCTCACCCAGTCATCCAGTCTAGGCTCAAACTTGTGATCCTGTTTTCTCAGCCTTTCAGAGTGTTGAAAGTATAGGCATGTGCCACCATGCTCCAGTCCCCAGACTTTTTAAGAATACTACTGTGTTTCTCAAGCTGGCCTCAAACTTGTGATCCTCCTACTTCCACCTCCTGAATATCTGGGATTACAGGCATGTGCTACCATGCCTTACTTCAACTCTTTTCTTTCTTTCCCTTTTTTTTTTTTTTTTTTAAGACAGGGTCTTGCTACGTAGCCCAGGCTGGTCTGAAACTTGCAGTAATCCTCCAACCTCAGCCTCCCAAGTGCTGGCATTACAGGTGTGCGCCACAACACCCTGTCCCTATCAATACTATGAAAATAATTTTTATTAGTGTAAGTCTTTCTTTGTGTTTTTCCTGAGACAGGGTCTCACTATATAGTTCAGGCTGGCCTTGAATTTACCATGTAGCCCAGGCTGGCTTTGAACTCACAGCAATCCTCCTACCAATCACTGAGTGCTGGGATTACAGACATGTACCACCATGCTCAACTTAATCTAAAGCATTAAGTAAAATTTAAACTGAGCCTAGTGGTACATGCCTGTCCTAGCACTTGGGAAGCTAACATGGGAGGATGGCATATTTAAACCCTGCCTACATTACATAAAAGACCTTTGTGGGGGGAGTGAGATTTAACCTCCAAATCAGTGCCACTTACAGAGATGTTTTATTTATATAATCCTGTATAAAATGATATACCATTTGGCAGTAAATGTCTTATTAAAGTGAATGCATTTTGAATGATTTAAATTTGGGATGTGTTTAGACTCATGATTTACGTGTTTTGTTTTTAAGTAGACGTACCCATTTGAACTGTTAGGTTTACATAATGGCATTTGGGACTAATGTCAGCAAACATCGAGCCAGGACCTGATTTTGCTGGTTGAATGTGTAGCTCTTGTTTGTTTTTTCAGGCTATTACCATTTATCCCTTTATCACAGAAGTGCTACTTGTGTTATGAAACTAAAGTTAGAATATTAATCTTTTTATTTTATTTATTTATTTATTTATTTATTTATTTATTTATTTATTTATTTTTTCTGGTACCGGGAATTGAACTCACAACCTTGCGCTTGCCAGGCAGGCGCTGTGCTGCTGAGCTAAATCCCCAGCCCCAGAATATTAATCTTCTTAGAACTGGGACTTGAACCCAGGATGCTCACACTGGGCTACATTCCCACCCCATATCTAATTTCTTATTTTGAGATAGGGTCTAAATTGCTTAGGTTTTGCTCAAACTTGTGCTCTTCCTGCATTAGCCTCCCAGAATGCTGCAACTGCAGGTGGGAGCCAACTCAGAATTTTAATCTTTTTGCTAAAAATGAAAAGCAGCTAAGGGATCTTAAAATTTGGTGACTGTATTAGTCATAGGCATTTAACAATTACACGTTTCTTCCCACTCTTAAAAGGTTGGATCATGATGAACTTTAAGTTTTACTGTACTAAGTTTAATCATCATTCTTGTCATTTTTCTGGCCTTTCGTTGTTTCTTCAACAAGTTTACCACCTTGTTTCTGAGGATGTCTTTTATTTTGATGGGTGTATCTTTGAGGATGTGGCTCTGAAGTTCTGCCTGGCTTTGAGTAGCCACTCAATCATTTACTGGTTTCGACCTTGGTAAATGTTCTCAAATTATAAAATACCATTATCTTTTCTATTTAAGAATGCCAGTTTTCAACAGTTAATAAAGATAATCTCCTATTTCAGTAGTAAAGCTCTCTAATAGCAGTGGCCTAATTCTTTCCCCATTATGAATTCTGTATAGGTTAGAAATGGGGGTTTGCACTGCTGAAGTTCATCTCTTAGAGCTCTCTGCATCCTGTGAATTGCTAGACCTGTTGACCCAGAGGAATAGTAAAAGCTCCTGAATGTCACATTACCAGTAACTTACTGACTACGACTACTTATGTAGCCTTGAAAGCTTGCAAGGAAGGCCAGAGAGACCCCAGTTCTAGAATTGGGAATGTTGTACAAGTAAAAATGATACCCACAGCAGTCAGACTTTTTTTTTATTCTTGTTTTGATAATGGCAGAATAAGAATATTATGTTGCATTTCTTGTAGGAAGAAAGAAACAGAAGCTTGCCAAGGAGAGAGCTGGGCTTTCCAAGGTAATACTTAAGTTTGATTTTTGTTTAAAGTATGTTATAAAAATATTATCTAAGAACCTACTTTAGATGTGTATTTTGAGAAAGATAGTTGAGATTGGACATTGACTTTCTATTTAAAGTTAATGAAGATTATCCAGTCCTTCAGTATTTCTGTTTTATTGGCAGTAACAGCAAACAGCTTATTGTACAAACAGTAGAGGCAGTAAACATTTACACCAAAAGTTAGAAATATTTTTACTCAGCTGCTTCAAATGATGGAATGTAACATACTGATTTAGTTTTCCTTGCTCCAACTCCTTTCAAAGAACCACATGCTACCCATTTCCAACTGATCAAAATTACTCATACCTGTCTGACCCAAATTTTACCTTGTAGTGCATAAATCTTTTTATTCATTTTTTGCCTTTTATAGGTCCTGTGTTCATGGTTATTTTAATGACTTCATAGGTTTATCTACTAGACAAAAAATGTTCTGTGACATATGTAAGTAAATGAAACATTAACAATTGTGCGTGCTACTTTCCCTTTTATTGAAATTAGTTGTTTGGAATTCAGAGCATGGGTTCCCAACCGCATCTTTAGTGGTTCTTTTAAGTTAAGGCCAGGAAAAATTAAATGTTACATTTTGTTATTTTGAAACAATTGAGCCTTGACATAGCTAATTGACTAGATATGGTAATAGTAAAGTGAAACTGGGAGAAAATTACTTTGTTCCAATATATCCAGATGGCCTAATAAATCCAAATGATCTTTCTCAGGGATAGTGTGTTTATTGTAACCTTTTCTTCCTAAGGATATAAGGAAATAAAGACATCATCCATAAGTGGGGTTTTTGGATTTTTCTTTTGCTTTGTTTCATGGTGCAGAGGATTAAACCCAAGGCCTCCCACATGCCACTGAGCTACATCCCCAGTCATTTTAGATTGAGCAATATAATCACAATTTTACTATACAATGGGATCGTCAATGAAAGATGCCTCCTCTTCCAGAAATTTATGTGGGTTTTTTGTTCACATGTTAGATCATAAGACTTTATAAAATTGAAAAACTATAGAAGTCTAGGGTTTTTTAATGTTTTGAGATGGGGTCACACTGTGTAGTTCAGGCTGACCTTGAACTGTGTCGCCCAGGTTGGCCTCAAACTCAGCAATATAGATGTGCATCACCACGCTTAGTATTTTTTTTAAAAAAACAAGTCATATAGCTGCTGGCATATAGTATAATCATTTAGTCTGGTACTATGTAACAAAGTACAAAATAGTAACAAATGCTAATAAAACTGCTAATAGTTGGTAGTAACAGAAAACTAGAAATAACAGAGGTGAGTATGCAATTCATATTACTTGGTTTTTTATTTTTAAATTTTTTCAATGCATGTCATAATTTAAAAGAAATGTTGAATCAGAAGAATAAAGAAATTATAATTGTTTAAAAATCTGCAAAGTGCCAAAAAGAAAAGTGTGCAGCTGGCTGTAGTGGCAGTGGCACATGCCTGTAATCCCAAAGTATGAGGCAGGAAGATTGTGAGTTCAAGTCTGGCCCTGGGCTATATAGTAAGTTCAAGACTGTCTTGGACACAGAATGAGACCCTGTAAAAGAATAAAGTGTGTGACATAGATATGTGTTTGTACCCTTCATTTTCTCCTTACCTTTGATTCACTACTTTCTAAGAGCTATTCAGGTAATACCAATTTGATCAATTTAATGTGTTGTTCTTTTCTTTTAAAGTAGGTATTAAACTTTTGCAGGTGTTCTTAAAGAGTAAATTTATGCACTTGTTAGAGTGATCTATTTTCAGTAGAGTGAATTATTTTTTCTGATTTTTCTGTGCACTCATTATAGTTCTGCAATAATTTTTCATAACAGTTTCTAAATATTCTATTTGCAAACAGTTACCTGACCTTAAAGATGCCGAAGCTGTTCAGAAATTTTTTCTTGAAGAAATACAGCTTGGTGAAGAGTTACTGGCTCAAGGTAAGAGTCATTACAGCTAGATAAAATTCTTCACAATAATACATGTTTATGATATTATAATAAAGGGATTTTTTTTTTTTTTGTAGCTTGCCTTTTAAGAATAGGTATTCTAAACATTTCTTTTATGGAAAGAGTTTACCATTTAACATGTTCCCACCAATTTGAACCACTAGGGGTACATACATGACTGTCCCACATGTATTTTAAGACAAGTGTTTGCTGAGTCACTATATTGTACAATCTGGGCTTGAATTTTTGATCTTCTTGCCTTAGCCTGCTGGCTTGCTAGGATTACAGGTGTGCGTCACCACACCCAGCCTGTGAATCATGCAATTTTGTTTAATAAATAAAAACTTAGTTTACAAGTGATCTTAATGTATCAACAAGCATGAGAGGTCTGAGGTTTTGAACTTACATGCTAACGGGTTAGTCTGCCCCAGTTTTATAGATGCTGGCAGAAGATACGAGACTATTGGGTTATAGAGACAAAGGAGAACTTTGCAATAGCGATAGCCAAGGTATTGATTTGCACTTAGTTCTTATCAGTAGGTGGAAGAGGTTAGGTGACAGGTGTACATGAGATGAGTCATATATAGAAGAGTCCTGAATTTGGGGAACCTGACTTTTATAAGGGACAGTGAGTGAGTTTGTCCGTTACCCTAAACATAGATGATGTTATAATAGAGTATAGTATTTAATTTAAAACTATATTTAATAGTATAAAGTTCTGCTCAGAGAATTTGGAACAATTCTTTTGGCTCTTCACTTAAGATAGAATTAACTGAGGACAGTGAGCACATAGCAAGTACTTAGTATTTATTGAATTAAATGAACCTTCAAAAACTAAATCTTTCAGAATTGTGTGTCTATAGAGGTAACCATTGTCTTAACATTCTTTCTGTCATATTTCCGTTGTATGACTTTTGTGTGTATGTGTGTCACTTTAAAATTTTGTTTCCATGGACTAACATTCAGATGGCAGAGAGGGTTGATTCAAAGTGAGGTTTCCTTTTCACCTCAGCCTCCAGTCTTCTCTATTGAAGTGTACTGTGCTGTTGTTGCAGAAATATTTTAAGGGTATAAACAATAATGTACTTGGGTATTTCAACATCTTAATTTCCCTCTTCTGTGTATATATTAGAGATATTTCCATATTAGTGCATATAGTATGATGGAGTCTTGTTAATAGTTTCATATTTCCAACTTTCTGTTTACACAGTGGTTTTGGTCAGCATCACTTGGACACAGTGACAAGGTAAATTTTTGATGACAGTTACAACTTTTCAGATTACATGTTATTTTGTATAAATTTTGTAGGTGAATATGAGAAGGGTGTGGACCATCTGACAAATGCAATTGCTGTGTGTGGACAGCCACAGCAGTTGCTGCAGGTGCTACAGCAAACTCTTCCACCACCTGTGTTCCAGATGCTTCTCACTAAGCTCCCAACAATTAGTCAGGTAAGGAATTGGAGTATTATGCAATTTAAAGTGAGTAGGACCTAAGAATTGAATGTTTAGGGACATTTATATATGAGCCTAGTGAATGCAGAGTGCTTCATATACCAGTGCTTGAAATTTTCCATTACTGCTGTAATTTCTGAATAACTGGGTATAAACAGGGCATGGTGGCACACGCCTATCATTCCAGCACTCAGGAGGCTGAGGCAGGAGGATCACTGTTTGAGGCTGGCCTGATCTATATAGTGAGTTCAAGGCCGTTTGATCTATATAACAAGACCTTATCTTAAAAAAAAACAAACAACAACAAAAAATTGGGCATAAGACCTAGTGATTATGTCCTAGTGGTGACTCGGGAATGTGTGCTTGGTTAATAAGTCTTAGGCCTTTGTGTTCAGGTCCTTAAATTCAGACCACTCTTATCATGTTTCTAAAATTAGCTTTACCTTCATGAGGAGGCCTGGCAGAGGACATGGGAGCTGAGATGGCATAGATAGTGCAGTAGGCATAAATGAGTGTGGACTCCGTCAGACCTTACTGGAATAAAGTCTCAGGCTCTGGTCCTGTTGAGTTTGGAGCTATTTGACTGCAATTCTCAATTCTTAACTCAGGGGGCTGGGGATTTAGCTCAGCGGCAAAGCGTCTGCCTGGCAAGCGCAAGGTCGTGAGTTCGGTTCCCCGTACCGGAGAAAAACCAAAAAAAAAAAAAAAAATTCTTAACTCAAAAGTGCAAGATACCATGTACAATATTTATGTGTAATTTAAGAGTTAATTAACCCGGTATTGTGACTCATGCCTATAATCCCAGCACTGAGGAGTCTGAGGCAGGAGAATTGCAGTGAGAATTGCAGTGAGGCCAGGCTAAACCATATAGCAAGACTCTGCCTTAAAAAACAAAACAAAAAAAGTAATTAAGCATTCTGTTCATTTTGAGTTATTTCAACAAGCCCAAATCAGTCTGCTTTTTGGAATACCATGTGCATCATGTGTATTAATTTTGGAAGTTTGTGCAGTTGAAAATTAGTAAAATGACAGTTTTCACAGAATTTTATGGTTAGTAACTTAATTTTTCGAACTGTCTCCTCTTTTTGTAGTTCTGGGCCTTGTATGTATTAGACAACCATTCTGCCACTGAGCCCCTTCCAAATAACTTTCACTCAGCTAGATTGAAAGAGAATCAGAAAATACAAGCCCCAGAGATTTGAGGAAAAGAGTTGGAAAGCTGGTGATCTAAATCTCTTAAAATTAGACTAATGTGATTCTAACCTATTCATATCAGAATCCTTTGTTTAGTGTTGTATGCTGTTTGAAGGGCAGTCTGCCTTTTAGCAACAGTGCTTTTGGGAAGTTGACTTGAAAGTGGTATATTCTGAAACGTGTGAGTTCAGGATAAAGCCTAAATTCTTCTCTATGAAAGCTGCTTCCTTTAGCCTGGTTGCTTTTATTTACATTCTCTAAAAATGTTTTGAGAATGCAAATTTCAGAATACAGTATTCCTGAGCTGGCACAGTACTATGCACCTGTGTGTAATTCTAGATATTTGTGAAGTTGAGGCAGAAGGATTGCAATTTAAGGCTGGCTAGGCATCTTAATAAGACTGACTCAACAAATGGGCTGGGAATGTAGCTCAGTGATAGACCACTCGCCCCTGGATTCTGTTCTCAGCACTGGAAAACAGAGAAAGAAGAGAACTGTATCATGGTCCTTCTTCAGTGACTTTAAGCCAAAAGAGGGAATGGTAGAGCATAGCACAATTGATAAAAACACTCTTTGTTATTTTTAGTTTGTGTAGGAGTGATAAGTTTTAAATTCTTTTTTAAGTTACATAATGATTAATATGTAACGATGTGTTTCATTTGTTAATTTGAATTTTGATATGGAACTGGTAGTACCATTTTTTTAGGTAATGTATATAATGTTAGTGTTTAAATGTCAGACGGATGAACTTTAGCAGATTGAATTCTTTGACTACAGAAGAGTTTTATGTTAAAGTTTGAATCCTGATTAATGCTTGTGATAATTTCCAAATTTAAATCTTTTTTTTTTTTTTTTTTTAGAGAATTGTAAGTGCTCAGAGCTTGGCTGAAGATGATGTGGAATGAAAACAAATCTCAACATAATAAAATCTCAAAAAGATTTTAAAAATTCTAAGCTCAGAAGTTGAACAACTGGGGGAATAAGGGCAAATATGCTTGTTAACGGACTGTGCTACACTGAAATCTACCAAAGTTAATGTTTACTTTGTGTAGATCCATTTGTCTATTATTTATTTTTCCCAGTGAAAAGTGTATTTTAATAGAGAGCTTTTCATTTTATAAAAACACTATGAGTTACCAAAATATGAATTTTGTTTATTTCTTAGACCTGCAGTTAAAATGTACATATATCATTTAAAAACCCAGTGCTTAGTTTCAAAGAACAGGCAAAAGGGCTGGGATTGCAGCTGAGTATCGAGTACTTGTCTAGCGTGTGTGAGGCCCTAGTTTTGGCCCCAGCACCACAAAAACAAAGTGAAAAAGTGTAGGAGAGTGGTGAATGTACATTTGTAAAGCTAGCACATTTTCTTATGAGAGTTGGATAGAGACTTGATTGTATTTTTGAAAAGTGTTACAGTGAGAGGTCCTTTCCTTTTACTCTTCAACACGCTGCTGTGCTGTACTAATGGCTCCCACCTCTTTCCTTGATACCAGTTTTGAGCAATTTTATTTAAATCAGTGTACTTAATGTTTGTGGGTATTTATCTTGTGTTTTAAGTATATGTGACTACAAGTAGTACGGGGAATTAAATCCACGTACCTAATCTCACCTATGAGCTTCACCGGTTGGAGTCTGCTCACTCTCATTTATAAAACCAGGGAATCAACTTTGGTGATTTTGAGGTGTCCCTTTCAATTTCTCCTTCTTTTGTTCTATTCAGCATCTTCAAATTCACCTTCACCTGAGGAGTGTATTTGGCCAACCAGGACTTGCATTTTTTTAATATTCTGAATCTTGCATGCTTGCCTGACTTAGTATTTCTGAATTAATCTTTTGATTTTCACTGGAATTGGTCAGTTCTGTGACTTTGTAAATTTGAAAATTAACCTTTAAGGTAACTGGGATCATCTGCCTGTAAAAATGTTTATTCCCTTTTGCTTTCATCCTCTGTACGTTTCAGGTTGATTAATTTATATCATATAATGAGTGGGATGTAATACTGACTAAAGACCGAATACAGTTTGTGGGACCTCTTACTCTCACAGTGACATATTGTCTGCCATTTCAGATGTGAGTCAGTATCAGAATTGAGAATAAAGATCTTTGGTACTTAAAGACATCTTTTGGACCAAGCAGCATTTTTCATTGTATGGATGGCCTGCATTCTAAGAATCTGGAGAGATCTCAAAAAGTTTTCCTGTGGGCTAGATGTTATTTTGCTTACTTACAGACTCTTTTTTGAGAAAGAGTCCTGCTGTGTAGTTTAGGCTGGCCTTGAGCTTGCTGTGTAGCCCAGGCTGGCCTCAAACTCACAGTGACCCGCTTGCCTCAGTCATGTACCACAACTCCCAGCCAGACTTTATTTTCTTTCTTTTTTTTTTTTTTTAAAGAGTAAAAGAAGGATAACAATAATGGGGGAGCTTACCAAATTACAAAGTGGTAGGAAATTATCAATGGTTATTGTTTTACATGTTGTTATCTACAAGATAGTTTCTCAGGAAAACAAATAGACATTAGTGAGTTACAGACAAAAGAGGTAGGAGCTTATCAATAGTTGTTGTACTCTACTTAGGTATCTTCAAAAGAAAATAAATAGAACTATACATGAGTGACCTATTGAATAATCATTAACTATTGTCAATGGTTGTTGTAGGAAACATAATAATAATAAACATGCATCCATTTATGAAATAGGATAGGAACAATACAAACATTACAGAGTTATGGATAGATTAGTAGGAAAATATCAGTGACTGCTGTAATATATGTTGGTATCTTAGAAGTGGTTTCTCAGGAAGACAGAGATACGCAAGAAGGATCTAACAAGTAGTTACAGCCTAAGGGTTGTCAAAAATCAAGTGAGCGGTCTGGGGCCAAAGCCATTTTTTGTAGCGTTTTCTCTCACAGCCTCCCATCACATTGGGACCCCACAACCAGTTAGTGTCCTCTCCCCACCTGTCAACACAGGCAGCGGGAATCCTGTTGCAGACTTCTCCAGAGCTCCACCACAGCCTGTACTGTCAGGAAGAATGGCTTCCAGGGAGTCTCCGCATGTATTGTGCAAGGTCCTCCCGGAGCGGCTCTCATGACCCCAGTCCACGGGACCTCTGACCCCTCGGGCTTAGTCTGCATTCTCTTGTTCTCTGAGTCTTTGTTCAGCAGCTCCTCCTCTGCTGACTCTAGACCTTTCCGGTTGTCAATGGCAGGAGCAAGAGTGGCCCGTTGCATAGCATGTATTCCCAGGGATTTTTCCATTTTGAATGATTCACACACGTCCATAGGTGGGCATCTGCAGCCGGTGCATGGTGGGCCAATTGTGTCATTGTTTCTCTGTGTCATGATAGTTCTCAATTGAGCAGCAGCAGCTGGCCTGAAGGCCAGCGTGCAACAGCGCTCTCAGCCGCATGGCTCCCCGTACGCCTGGGGCCCTCCCTTCGGGGGCCTACGAGGCAGGGAGCTAGCTGCTGGTTGGAAGACCGGCGCTCCCCGCCTGTGGCTCCCCGTGCACTGGGGGCCCTCCCTCCAGGGGCCTATGAGCCAGCCGGAAAACAGGCGCTCCCTGCCCATGGCTCCCTGTGCGCTGGAGGCCCTCCATCTGGGGGCCTACGAGGCAGGGCCAGACTTTATTTTCTTTTTTGAGACAGGATCTCACTGTGTAGTCCAGGCTGGTCCTGAACTCACTGTGCCCAGGTTCTCACATTCACCGCAGTCCTACTGTCTCAGCCTAGGATTACAGGTGTGTGTCACCATGACTGGCAGACTTACTATTTTTAACCTTGGGTTTGTTGTTTTAGTGGGGAAGAGTTCGGACTATGGTTCTAATTTCTGCCTCTGGTTAGCTATGTGGGTGATTACCCTTACCTTTATTTAATATCAGTAATTTATTCTCATTGTAAAAACTAGAACATCAAATCAGAAGATGTGCATATTTGAGTCCTCTGCCTCAGGTGCCTTCCAGGGTTGTGATCCTGAGTCCTTACATAGTGTTTTCCTCCTAACACAGTATGGTTTTGGTGGGGATGGCTAGAAAAATGCATGCTGGCTGTCCAGTTTCATTGATGGGATCCTGGCGCAGTGAGATTTGGTCAGAGATTAGCCACATAGCTATGCAGTCCTCCACCAGACAAGACTGGATAGAGGGCAGGTGGAGGGAAAACAGATGTGGGAAAGGGAGGCTGGAGTGGACTGGGCAGTTTAGATGTGGGAGGGTAGGAAGATTGCCCTTGAAAAGGTTCAGGTGCCATTTTCATTTTACAGCTGATGTGTCATTTTCTTATTTGAATTACAGATTTTTAAAAAGTAAGTATCGCTTTTCAAAACTAGCTGTGTTCAATTATAAGCAACAAACAGCTGTTTACCCCATCCATTAACTTTGCAAACTTGCTATATAAAGTTTCGTGTAATGATGGAAATAGGAGATCTTGCCATATTTTAGATAATATTAAAAGCTTGTGCATTCCCATGTGTTAATGTTGCACACTTGTGTGAAATCTTTGGAAATGGAACATACTAGAGCACATTGAATGCTGTTTTGAACAAAGATTTGTTGCTTAGTTCCACACTCCATACTTAAAATTTAAGAAGACCTATCTGGAGGTTGTGAAGTATGTAAAAGCTGGTATAGTCTGCCTGATAGGCAGTAAATGATCCTTACTCCTTGGTAAATTTGCTACTTCTACCACCTTCTGCATGCCTTTATAACATTGTTCAGTCATCCTGTAGGCAGGAGTGTTAAATGTTGCTACAAACTGGGTGTGGCGGTGCACATCTGTAATCCCAGTACTCAAGAGGCTGAGGCAAAGAGGATTGTTGTGAGATTGAGGCCAGCCTCAACTAATAGCGGAATGCTGTCTCAAAAAGCCAAAAAAAAAAAGTTACTGCAGAAGCGAAATTATGGGGAAACTGGTGCATCATACAGCTAACATACCAAATTCTCTGCCTTGTACAGAAATGAAGTGTTCTTGCTTTTGCCTCAGCTGCTTGAGTATTAAAGGATTTGGAGAAAAGTTTGGCTTGGTGTGTTTTTGCACAAGTGAACTCTTGTGAGTTGTGTGGCTCAGAAACAGAAAATGCATCTAGCTGTGTTTGGGTTAACGTCCCTTTGAGAGTGTTGGGAGCCATGTGGGTTCTGCAGGACAAAGCGGTTGATCTGCCTTGGAGTGGGGTGGGGAGGCCATCTTCACATTCTATGTTGAGAAGCCCCACCTTACGGTGAGCAGGTGAGTGATTTTGTGTAGGATGAGGCCCCAGCCTGGCCTGTCAGAATCAGCTGGAAGTTTTGGTGAAGGAGGTTGCTGTGTGGCATGCACCCGAGTATTTCCAGCAAGTTCTCAAAATGGTCATGCTGCTGGCCTAGGGTCACAAGAAAGCACAGTGGTGATGTGGGAAATGAGTATTAGGGAATAGTTGTATGTGAAGGTGACAGATCAAGTACAGTACTTAGCATGCTGTGCCAAAAGCCATCTGGTGGCAGAATAAGGTAATTCAGAACACAGGATTCCACATTATTGATCATCTGGTGTAAACAATATCACATTCTATGTTCAAGATAGGCTAGTGTATTTTAAGAAAATTGAGATAGCCGCCAACTCCAAATTTAAATTAAGCATTTTAGTTTTCCATACTTGAGGGGGTGAGTGAAATGGTTTCTTTTCTCCTTTGTAATACAGACTGTAAGAAATTGCCTTTCTAAAGGCTTTTTGAAAAGCCTTTTAGAGGCTATACTATTACGAAAACTGTCCAGAAAGCATTGTGGCTGGGCATGGAGGCACATTCCTGTCATCCCAACAATGAAAAAGACAGAGACAAGAGGATCACTGCAAGTTTGAGGTCAGCCTGGTCTACCTATTGAGCTAAAGCCAGCTTGAACTACATACTAGACCTTGTCAAAACAAAACAAAAAGGCAGGCTGGGGATATAGCTCAGTGGCACAGTGCCTGCCTGGCAAGCTCACGATCTTGATTTCAATTCCCAGTACAAAGAAAAGAAAAAAAAGCACTGTAGAAAAAAATGGTACAAAAAAAGCATTGTAGAAGTACTTACCTTATTTAATTTCCTTTAAGTGATAGGGTGTTGGGTGCAGTATATGCATATGGTCCCAGCTACTTGGGAAACTGAGGCAGGAGGATTGAGTGTGAGTTCAAGACCAGTTTGGGTAACAGAAGACTTTATTCTCCCCCAAAGTTAGGGGAGTCATGCTTTAAGGCAACAAGGACAAGCAGAAGTGGGAGGTGAGAAGGAGAAAAATGGAGTCCAGAGGCTGTGATTGAGTTGGCCTTTCCTCTGGAAAGGGCAGGGTTCCTGGTGCTCCGTGGCACAGACGTGAGCTTCCAGGGAGGATAGCTTGATTCCACTGGAACTTCCTGTCACCCTACATTGCCTCTGTTTCATGAGGAAGTAGATTGAAATGAGTGGATCTTTCCGTTTCTTTGTTGGTCTGGTGGGCATCTTTGAGGTTCTAGAGCGGTGGTGGTGAACCTGTGACATGTATGCCACAGTGGGCTTTTGTATCACTGAGAGTTTTAAAAGGTTTGCCATCACTCCACAGCCACAAACCTGGCCCACATTAACAGAGCGGTGCCCAGGAAGGGTAAACCCCTGGGCACACTTCACTCAGGAGTGTTGTGGGCCTGGCAGAGACTGCCGGTTCCAATATCCCATTCATAAAGGGCCCTAGAAGGTTCTCAGATGTGTCATTTCTTCCTAGGTTAATTAGGGCTCCACTGGCAAGTACAGGAACCGGATTTGAGTTAGCTTCAGGAATAGCGGCACTTGTTAGCTGCTTGGAAGAGTAGATCTCACCTGAGAATTGAACCAGGATTTCCTGACAGCGCAGCTCCCTCTTCCCTCTCACCCTGGTATCTTTGTACAAGCTTACTTGAAGAAGAGGCTGGAGCTCTGGGCCTGCCAGCTGCAGGTCCACCCAAGGGATGGCAGGTGTTAACTTCTCACAGCCCCATAAGGCAGGAGCTTAAGAGGGGCATTTTTCACCAAAATGAGATGATGAGCACACAGGACGGCCACTGTATAATTTAAGTACATAGCTGGACGATTATTTCTTGTGAGAATACTGAAGAGTTGGGAGCACAAAACATTGAAATATTATACATTTTTATTTTG